CTAGAGTGGACTTGGATGCCGGAGTCGGTCCTCCTAGGGCTGATTGCTCAATGATGTATAAACTTCCAGGCAGGAGACATGGACAAAGGGCAACTGTTGATGTAATATGTGGGCTGAAGGGGCCACGCCCGTGTACATGAACTACCTGAGGGTGCGTGAGGGTGAAGGCTGGAGTCGGGGAGCATTGGAAGAAGAGGGTGCTCCGTGGTTCCTCAGCCACTGCGCTCCAGCGTGATATGAGAGGGGTCCAAGAATTTTAAATTTCAACCTGGCCTTCCAAGTCTTATGAAGGTATATTTGTCAAAATAGGAGAGAACACATTTTAACAGCTTGTTACCCTGATTTATAATATTTGCATGTTTACACACATGGTATGTGGATCTCCATTTGTACTTTTGCCGCCCAGGGCTCTTTAATTATTAGGGGAGGGCCTGGCTGTGTGTGTGTAGAGCACTTAGTGAAAACCCAGGAAAGGCTGGCTACTGTCAGTGTCAGATAATACAGCAAATAACGATGGTAATAATGTAACACCATCTCTTCTTGGCCAAGGCCCTGAAATGCTGCTCACCTCTCTCCCGCTGTACCTCTTCCTCTCTTCTAGTCAGCGGGGTTTTAGTGGTCGCGGTAGAGCTGCATTCTGCTTTCCAATCCCCAGATGCTGCTCTGGACTGGTTGCCTGGATCCTTAAAGTGCTGCCTGGGTCCCACAGCCATGCCCTATGAGTAGGGTTAGCTGGGGTCCACGACTGCTCCAGTCATGCATGAGCCTGGTATGCCCTCTGCAGTTGGAACTATGCTGTCCACTCCGCAGCTCATCACATGCTTTTTGCTTTTTTCTCTTAGTGGATTTGGAATTACTTTTGAAGTTTAGGGAAAAATTTCTCAGGCAGTCAAAATAAGCTAAGAATAATAATCGATCATGTTTTACTTTTTCCATTATGTGCCAGGAACTGAGTAAACAGATTTTTCTCAGTTATAATAACTGTGCATTGTTTAGGTTTTGTAATTCAATGAATTTCCTGTCCTCATTGTTTAGTGCTTACCTAGGTTGTCATCGTTGACAGTTTAATGTGAACCCCCTCGAACCCTGTTTTGTTGATTTGTCTTCTTTGTTTTAATGAATCCCTCCAACACACATGCTTGGAAAGTGTGCTCTTTGGAAAGATTTTGACATTTCTTTAAAAGTCTGAAGCCATGCAGAATTATTTGGGGGTAGGTGGTATCCATGGAGGCCGTATGTCAGGTAGTTTTTTAAAGTATAATTTTAAAAACACAGTGCTTATATCCCCCCCCCGCCTCTCGTTCTTTTGCTGGTGTTGATATCACCAGATTATCATCGAGTGAATGAAAAGAATTAGATTCCTAGGATCACTCCAGGGTGCATCTGGCAGTAGACTGCCCAACACATAAGATGTAGGAATATTTGGAGAGGTGAAGTTTTGATTAGGGTCATTTGTTTCTTTTCTTCCACTTGGCGTCCCTCTTTGTTTTATACTTATAGCCAAGCATCATGAACGTGAAAGCATCGCTTTCTCTGGCAGACACCACGTGTAAAATAGCCTCCCAAACCATGGGCTCTTGAAACAGATGCCTCCCACCTCCCATTGTGCGTTAATTGCCTGCTTTCTTGTTCATAGGTCAACTGGCTATAAACTCCTTGGGAGCAAAAACCATGCCTGGCTTGTCTACCCATTTTGTCCTTGGCATCTAACACAGCACTTGCAATATAATGTGGATGCTTAAACATTTGCTGAATGGATAAATAAATGCCTCAAGTACGCAGACAATATGCTTAATGCAAAACTAGGGTTATTTTGGACAGGTGTAATAAGACGACACGTTTATGAGAGAGTTGAAGGGACTTGAAATGACGCACCAAGATATGTAGGGGCTCTAGAGAGGAGGAGATAAGGCGCTGGGTAAAAAGAGGCCATCAAATCCTGAGAGGTCATCATGAAATTACAAAGCCAGTTCAGCGGGTTAGTAAGTGAACAATTCAGAGGAGGTTGTGGCCGGATAAGATATTGGACTTTAAGGTTTCAGTGGTGGAGCTACTTTAGGTCATTACTATGTCTAGATCGTGACCTTGGAAGTATTAGCAGAGTTGCTAATATTCTCCCATTTTTACTTATAAAAGGCTCTTTCATGATTCCGTCGAATAGTTTGCTGAAGTTTAGTGCGGATGGGGTGAAATGTCATGAATCTTGAGGCTAAGGTATTGATAAACTTATTCATAGTTTCGGACACCAGGTAGAATGATTTTAGGAGGTTAAGTGGGGAGGAGTGTTGTGACTCAGGCTCTTGCCTTGACTGAGATTGGTAGGTGACAGTGAAGAGAGGGGCGAACGGTAACATAGATCAGTGGCATAGTATGGGAGCTTTAAAACAACACCAACAAAGCCATGAGACCATAGGAGTATGGCCTAGCTTGGAAGTTGCAATGGGAGGCTTGGGGAATACTTCTCCCCACCCCTGGTAGTGGGTATTGGGAGAAGCAGTAGCTTCTTCTAGAAGAAAGGGAGTCTTCCAATAAAAACTTCAGGCTCAGTTAAGTAAAGTAGGCAGAGAAAAGAGGGTAAAGTTGTGTTCCCAGAAGAGAAAGCCTAGGTAGGAGAGAGGCTTTTATTTGAAAAATTTAAGTTACTGATGCGTAGGATCTGTTGACAAGATTTACCCACTTACTCAATTGATCTATCAGAAACTAAAAAAACTAAGGTCATCGTTAGGTAATCATGGCTTAGAGCAAAATCTTGGTTTATTTTATCACATAGGACACTCCATTTCCATTTTGCAACAAGCTGGCCTATAAGCCGGAGTACACGAGAATGTTTCCTTTGCTGTTATCTACTTTCTGTCTTATCTGTATGCTGACATTTACCTCATTTCTCTGAAGTAACATTTTGCATCCCTGTGCAGTTCCTCACTATATCCCAAGGGGCATTCCATTAATTTACCCAAATGGGAAATTAAAAATCTCAATTAGTGACTTAGAAACTTTCAAGGCAAACCCATGGCAGCCATACTCCATGGGGCTGAGTTTGGGACCTCAGATTCATCCATCCACACGGGGCAGGTGAATGGCTCTCTGGTCAGGCATGTGCCCTAGTTTGGTTTCACAACTTTCAGAAGAAGGTTTTAATATGGCCCTCTGTCCGTTTGGTTGGCAAAGCACTTGGATGTATCCTCAATGAACAACACTAAATTTTAGGATATCGGCTGTCTTCCTAGCCTTAGAACTCTCGGCTGTTCGATTATTAGAGTAAATCTGTACCTAAGAAAAATCCGTCACGGAAAACAGCCTGAAGGACATGTAATCTGTTCAATACAAATTTTATCTTTGGAGCAAACTCAAGAGCTACTTGATAGACTTGCATTGTTTGCCCCCCCTCCGAATAATTTTCTTTCCTGAACAATGCTGGGGTGCCACTCCATTGTAACACTGCAGTGAAGTGTGGGTACAGGGAAGGGTGTTGCCATCAGTGCTTTATATTGAACTTGTGAGTATTGTATGGATGTTGCTCAGACTACAGTCTTTAACATCACAGTACCTTAATTTACTGAGGACCTATAGATGCAACTTCACATGGGTCTCAACTAGAAAAAGCCGTTCTCCTCCTGAGCCTCTGGTTGTGTTCCATTGTAGCTAATCTTTTTTTTTTTTAAATATATCTTTATTGGTTTCAGAGAGAGGAAAGGAGGGGAGAGAGAGAGATAGAAACGTCAATGATGAGTCATTGATCAAGCCTGCAACTGGGCATGTGCCCTGACCGGGAATCGAACCCCGATCGCCTGGATCCTAGGTCGACGCTCAACCCCTGAGCCAAGCCCGGCCCAGGCCACTGTAGCTAATCTTGCTCCCCATTGTCTCCTTTGTGATGAAACCTGGGAAGCTCAGCTCAACTGTGCGTCAAAGTTGTAGCAATCACACCCAACATTATATTAGGCATTGGATGCACTGAACCTTCCTTCAGTTTTCATTATATATTTACTTCACGCCACTTCTTTTTTTCTTAATTTTTTTTTATGTTTATGGCATGTATCTGTAAGGTGCCTCAAATCCTGTTTTGAATTAAGGAAGATCTCTAGGTAAAGAAATAAATTTGGGGTCTATGTAGAAACAATCTCCTACTTTGTTTCCAATCAGAGAGCCGCCCACAGCTTGAACTCATGATGCTAATGAAATGGAGAATTTAAACCGTCTTTCATCTGAACACTTTCTATTGAAGGCACTAGTGTCTGTGATAGGCTCTTGATGGGGACTCCGTACAAGGCCAGATTTTACTCTTTTTGTGCTCGAGACCTAGCATAGGCCTGGAATATAATAGGCAGCTCATGAATGTTTATTGAATGAACTGAGTTGCATTATATCACATAATGCGCGTAAGGCATTAGTAGAGCACTTGGCACAATAAAGGTTTATTTCTCAATCACTTTTCCTTCACACCTGGCATGAACCTATCTTTCCCACCTCATCTCCCACCACTGTGACTTTAATAGTCACCAACTCATAATTTTATGCACGTAACATACATTTCTATGCCCATGGAGCCTTCATCATGCTGTTCTTTCTACAATGTAATCTCTTCCTTAAATGCATCATCCCTGCCTTAATCTACAGAAAATAATACATATTCCTGGTGATGTTGGTTCAAATCTTCTCTACAACAAGCTATGCCATTTATATTTAAATAGTTTGATCTGATTGGGCATTTCTGGCATCTTTCATATGCAATGCATGTTTTTTTAAACCGGCAAAACTCCTTAAGGTGAATTAAAACTTACTTTCATTTATCGATTCAAGCACCCCTTATTTCTAGTATTCAGAAACATTAATAAATAAGTTACGATTCAACTTTTGGATTTGAATGGATAGTTCTTATACATACGTATCCAGTTGTTTAGCATTTTATTTCATTAACTCACCCCCTGCAGGAAGTCTAAAATACATTTTAGAAAATTTTATGAGCCAAAGGATGGATGATTTATTTATCTCATGAAATCTCAACCCAAGGCTACTGACAGCTGCAACTCTCCTAGCCACTTCCACATAATTTTTAAAATGTGAATGCCAGGAATAGTGCTGTTGACATTAATATCAGGACAAGGGAGAGAAGGGCCAGGTGTCTCAGGAGGAGTCTGTGGGGGAATAAACAAAGATGCCCGTGCAATGTTGGAGATTTCCGACGTCAGGTTGACCTTATCAACAGCCCGAACAGCTATGAAGAGATCCGTGCCATTTTCAAAAGTGATGCTTTCTGGTTTAAACACAAAGACTTCCTGAGAGTTGGCCTCCTTTGGAATGAGATCAGTAGTGTTCACTAGAACCGATTCATTGAACTTGTCTCTGAGATCAAGAATATTTGTGCTTATTCCGATAATATACCTGTAAGCTGGAGAAAAACAAACACACCTTGCAATTATCAAGTTTTAAAAGCTGTTAGAAACTATATATCACCATCCCATAAAATTCCAATGAATAAATATAACCGATGCTTCATTTTTACAAGTATTAGTATCTATTTACATTCTTGTTTGTATGTCTTGACAGAGTGATACATGTAAAAGTGGATCAGGCTTGGCCAATACTCCTGGCCATAGTACCTGGCTAAGAGAGGAGGTTGTTTAATTATTATTTTATTATTTCTAGAAGAGTTTTTGGTACCAGTGCTTCTCAAACTTTAAATGTGCATACAAATCACCCAGAGATCTTAAAATGCAGACTCGGGTTCAGTAGGCGGGGTGGGGCCTGAAGGTGTACAGCCTCTAACGAGCACTCACGCTGCAAGCCCGCAGACCATGCCTCCACAGGTTTCTTCCAAAGGACAGCCCTGCTCCATTGATATCTATGTTTTATTCTCAATCCTCTCCAGGCCTCGTTACTAAACATGGAGTTGATGAAAGGGCACTATGGCAAGATTTCAGGCAAAAACTGAGGGTTGCCTTTTCCTGGTTGGAACCTCTTACACCTAAAGTAGGCCAGGTTTTCAGATTCTCAATCTCTCATTTTTCAGTCTTTGTTCAAATAACTTTTAAAAATTGAGGTAACATTGATTAATAACACTATATAAATTCCAGGTGTTCAGCATTATAATTCTCTGCATACTCTTTTGCATGCTCACTACCAAAAGTCTAGTTTCCATTCACTATCGTATGTTTGATCCCCTTTCCCCATTTTGTCCCTGCCTCACCCCCCTCCTCTCAGAGGACAGTCAGGACCCCCCTGCCCCCTGCCTTCCCCGTGCATCGCACAGGCCTGCCTGCGGCCGCGGCTGCCTCCCCCCTTCACCGGGTCCGCAGCGCGCTCAGCTCACCTCTTCCGTGATCATAGTCGTCCCCAGGCGCCGTCCACGTCAGATTAATAAGACTGTCCCCCTGGATTTTCGCCTTCAGGTCAGTGATTTGACAAGGTGGAAAGAGGTCAGGTATGGGAGCCTTTGGGACATTGGAGGCTACAAATGACCCTCCCAAGGATGTCCTGCTGAAACACACTTGCTTGCCTTGCAGGTGATCCTCGCTAATGTCAGGCCTCGGCGGGTTCCATTTCACTTCCCCTGCAATGAAAGATTCCTCAGGACGTGGTCCGCTGCACGAAGTGGCTACACGCCCCTCTGTTTTGTGATCGGGTGACCCTCTTCTCACATTTCCCTTCCCCTTCTTTCCCCCTCCCACGCAAAATATAATTTAACTATTTGGTATAAAGATCCCTGCCGCGTCCTCCCCCAACCGTGTCGTCTGACAAAATCCGGACGTGGAGAGGAAGCTTCGGGGAAGGCGTCTTCTGAGGAGAGGACGTGGCATGTGGGTGGGAGTGACTGGCTTAATGGGAATATCCCTTCTCCTCCTTGGAGGGGGATCTTGGGCCATAAATCAATAACTAACCTGGGAATGGTAAACAATGTTCTCACTTCTGAAGAAATACCGATTTCCCCAAGTCCAGTCACTATCGCATGTGCCGGATGCTTTAACCAATTGTTATTAGAAGAAACTAGGAAAACTCCCCCTGGTGCCCTCAAAAAGGAATTTACGGAGGAACTAGAGAAAGCTGAGCTCACGCAGACGCCTAGCCTCAAGTGCCTCCGCCTATGATTGCAAGATTAGTCGAGGACAGGAAAAAGGCTGTCGCCCCTTGCCTACTGCACAAGGACCACCCTGGGTAGCACACAGAATAAATGGCAGGTTGTGGCATCCCCCTAAAAGGGGCTAGCAGTATGGAGAGGCTACCAGACCCTCCTCAGCCTTATGCAGGTGCTTCCAATGGGAACGGTATCAGAATAGTTAATGTAAACGGAAGGCATGGTCAGTATGAGAACCTGCCCTTCATGAAACGCTCGGCAAGGCGGCGGCCACGCTGGTGCTCGCTCCCAAAGGAACAAAAGAAAAGCATTCTTAGCAGTTAATCCATAGCTATGGCAAAAGGCACTCTGTTCTTAGAAGAAAATGGCAAGAAGAATATAATAGCTTAAGAATAGGTCCATAGTTAAAATAAACCAGAAGAAGTAGTAACCACAGGCAAACATTATATAAAGTTTCTGTCTCACAAACTAATATATTCCTGCTGCAAACAAAGCCGCATCTATCACTCCATAGGTCACTGATTTTTCCTTTCTCCTCTATTCTAAAAAATAAAAGTCAAAATTGTTCCCGTTCTGATGAAATCGAAACTTGTATCGTTTAACCTGTGAATAATATTTCTTGCTTGCTAACCGATAAAAGGTAATCGTAGCCAAAAAAGAAAGTATAAAAGATTATGTTGATTCTCAATGAAGTGGAACAGTGTCACACCACCCCCGAGCCGTGTAGTCTGCTGTCTCCCAGCGCCGATGCCTTGCCCACCTTCGGCACCCCTGACTCCCGCTGCGGCTGGGCCGCGGCAGATCCCCAATCAGTTTGCATCAGAGCGAAAAAAGCAAAGAGGGAATCACAGTTCTTACATTTAGTGGGATAACTTTCGTCATGTGTTTTCATGACATTTGTCCTGGAATTGTTTCTTCTGCCATCTTTGAGCCCATCCTGGCTGCACCCTTCCACAAGGACGGTATAGATACCACTTCTGTTTTAACCTTCTCAGACTGACCCAAGGGATCTCTTCCACCTGAGCAATACTGTGTGGTTCCACTATCTTTTCTATTTATTTTGTAAGTAATCACCTGGACCTTTCAGAATTGCCCTGATTCTTTATTCTGTGCATTTTCCTCTCTCTCCATGTTTGTGTTTTATCTTTTCTCACGGAGTGGTCTCTGTTAGGGGTTCTAAAATGTTACGCTTTTGAAAGACTTCTGATTTTCTCAGTGAATGCGTGGAAACCTAGTTCTTGTAGGAAATTTACTTTCTCATAAACTCTACTTCATTAGCCCTTAATATTTTTGCCTGTAAAGACAGATGGATCTTCATACCCATTAATCTGGTCTTGGGCAAACATGAAGTAGGCATATCAGCAGATTAATGGTTAGTATTAAATTTTCTCTTGGTATTAAGGCTCATCAAGGTATGGAAGCAAGAACATAGCTTCCAAAGCCAAGCCAGGTGCTATTACTATTAGTTATGTGAACCAATAACTTCTCTAGCCTCTGTTTCTCTATCTGTAAAATGGGATAATTAGGGGAATGAAATGTAATAACATAATTAAAACACTGAGCATAGGCCAGATACAGCCCCTAAACCAGTCCGCTTCTGCCTTCTTCCCCTGACTCAAAAAGAAAGGACAAATGGGAATAAAATAAGCTAAAATTTTCTACAGAGCTTTTTAAAAAATGGTGTCAGGGCATTTTTTCCTATGATCGCATTTGCATGAGGAGACACCACATATCTCAGAATTGTCTCTTTACGAAACATACACCCAAGTGAACCAGAGAGTGGGAAGCTTCTTGGAGCAGTGCTAGGAAAAGACCTGCCCAGGACAGAGGGGTTTGATGAAAAACAAGTCCCGAATCCATCGGGACTCAGTCTTGGTTCCAATTCCAGCTCTAGTCTGGGGCAAGTGTTCATAATCAAGAGTGGTGTGGGATGCCCTATTTCTTGGAGCAAACTTCCTTTCCCACTGTCTCACGTGTGGGCTCAGTGTGCTGGCTGGTATTAGATCCATCTGCTCTCCCTGGTGTGAGCAGGAGAAGAGAGGAAGGGAGACAGTGGGCTTATGTGATACTGATGTAGATAGCAAGCCCTAAATTATTATTTTTTGATTCTATGGAAATGCTTATGTTAGTGGAAAGAACTTTATTATAAAATTGTAAAAAAATTATTAAAGATAATAAACATTTATTAAATACTTACTGTTTACTGGCAAGAGCTTCTTAGGTATAATTCTTTGCTTATTCCTCATAACCGTTCTATGAGGTAGTAACCATTGTTACCCCTATTTTACAACTGAGGAAAGTGAAGAACAAAGAGATTTTCTAAAATAATGTATTTGATAGAGGGCTGGAATTTGAACCGAGGCAGTCAAAAGAGACATTCAATCCAGTGTCTTCCACTGGGGGCTGTTTTGCTCCCAGGGGACAGTGGATGATGTCTGCAGACATTTTTGATTGTTATGACTGCGCGGGCTGTTTCTGCTTTCTAGTGAGCAGAGGCCAGGGATGCCGCTAAACATCCTACAAAGCACAAGGCAGCCTCCACAACAAATAATTATGTGGCCCCAAAGGCCAGTAGCGCCAAGGCTGAGAAGCCCTGACTTAATCCTGCTCCATTCTCCTCATAGGCCTAATGGTTTCCTCGGGGTCCCGAGCCTTTCACTCAGGCCAGGCGCGCTGTGACAGGTTACCTACCGTTCTCAGTCCAGCCAGGTATGTACAGGGCTGCATTCTGCGGGGGCGCAGCTCTCCGCCGGGCTGCGTTCACTCCGCCCAGAGCCCGCACTTTTAGGCTGTATCTGCCATTTGTGTCGTAAGCTGTAAAATACCTCGAATAGATACCGTCGTCCTTAGCAGCATCAGCACCTGGACAGGGAAATGAAAGCATGAATGAATATCCCTAAAGGACATTCGTATATTTCCAAACCATATGCGGGTTAAAAATTTTCAAAGCAAAGAGAATCCAGCATTATCTCCAAGAGAGTTTAGGATTTGACTATGTAAAGGACGTGGCTTACTTCTTTTACCAGTGTGTACGTATGTGTCTGTACGTGTGTGTGTGTGTTGGGTGTATGTGTGTACAGTCCCAAATGTGCTCAGCTTATCTTCCTGAATTGTTGTCTTCCTGTTTGAAATCAGAGATTGTGTCATGTGTCTCTGTTACATCCAACGTAGTGCAGGTCGGTTAACTACTCGATAAGTATCTGTTGTACTGAATTTAATTGTTGTATGTTACTGAGGAGAAAAAAAAAAAGTTATAATCTTATTTTTTTAAAATTCATTACTTCTCCCCAGGGTAGATTCAGGAAGGAAATTCAGCTACAGGATTTGTTCTAATAAGATTACTTGCATCACAGCTTGCAATGGAGTTCCTCCTAAAAGAAAATGTAGAATTTGTGTCTCTTTCTCCCTGCTAGATTTCTTAAAAACAAAAATAACGGGTGGGATTTTCCCTTTGGAACAAGGTAATATGGAGTTTGCATAGATATGGAAGTCACATATAACTGTACTTGAATCTGTCTCTGGTGCTTTCTAAGTGTGAAAGCCCCAACAGTGGGTGGTGAAGATAAAAATGAATATATGTATATATATTCACACAAAGCCCCTAATGCAAGACAGCTCTTAATTTTCTGGAGAGTGTGGAGGACCCTCTGACAACTCCCTAGAATCTCTGAGCTGTAGAGCTTGAGCCACCACTGTGTTTGGGCTTTGCAGAAGCTAAAGGTAGGCCCCTTTTCATGTTTTCCAACATTGAGAAATAAAGGAATTGTGGGGGAAGCAGAGAGCTCTCCCCAGTGCTGGACTCCCTGCTTCCAAGTGTCCTCGCCACGCCATGCCCTCCTGCTGTTCCCTGTTTGCTTCTTAAAAAAGAAAGTTGTGTTTTGCAATTTCTGGGGTGGTTTACCTGCTCCATTGTCCAAAAGTTCCAAGGTGACTGTTTTTCCATCCGCTGATTCTATCAGGGCTGTGACACTGGCCCTGAGAATCGGCAAGGCCCCTTGGTGAACTTTTGCGTAAACTGCCATAGGGCTAGGGAATTTGCCTGTGTCTTTGTTCATTTTAGAGGTCACTGTAACTGGAGGCAAGGTAGCATGTGAGGCGCGGGTGGTGACAGTCAATGTCAGGGTCTGCGCTGAGTTTGCTTGCAGACTGTAATTCCAAATGCCAACCTGACCAAAACAGATGGACACATTTCCAGTCAGTATCTACGTGACACAGACCTGACTTCACGGCCACTTCCAGGAGGAGCCTGTCTGGTGCAAGCATGTTGCAAGCCTGTCTAAGATGGTCTTTCATACTCTCAGTCAAGGGAAACTTTGGTGTTTTGAACTAACTCCACGGTTCTTACTGTCAAGAAAATTCTAGTTGGGGAAAATGAAGTCTGAAAACCTTGTTCTTATCATTGCCTTGGTTTCTCAAGGATAAGATCCAATGGATGGGTTCCCGAGGTAGAGGAAATAGTGCTCATGACCCTCACTCTTGGAGGACATTGCTGCACCCTGACTGCTACGTAGTTCAAAGGTTCTCCTTTTAATACCCGGAGAAAATAACACAAAATCCGTTCTCTCGATTTGCCTTCATACCGAGTGATTTCCTTTGGATGGAGATTTTTTTCTTGTTCTCGCTTTTATTCATTCAACACTGACTTTCCTTTTAACAACTACCCATAATTAAAAAGCTATGATTATTCTATAAAAACTTTGTCCAGTTGTGAGAAGGAGAAAGGCTGAGTCCGTACCTTGGCAGTGCCTGGGACTGGGAGGTAGGCCATCTTGGTGTCTGTGTCCACGAGAAAGCCGTCTTGCTTCTTTCCGCTGGGATCCCAGAGAAGGATCTGGGGGGGCTGCACGGTCCAGGTGATGAGAAACAGAGTGTCGTTTCCCACAGTGCTGTCCACGATCACTGTGCCGTTCATCCACTCACTGGTCTGGAGAGTTAATCCTGTACTCTCCAGCTGTTAAGAAAAACAACTCTTCACTTTCTGGAGAATACAGCTTCTGTCACAGAGTCTCTTCCATTCTGCCCCCCCCCCCCCAAC